TTTTTGTTCTGATCTCAACCTCAGTGTGACAAGAGGAGCCAACGACAAACTTCTGTTTGGTTCTGGAACCCGTCTGATCATTGTGACGGGTGAGACCGGCTCATTTAACTTAATCTGAGAGTTAATCTGAGTTTTAGGCAGCAGCTGATCTGGGTTCAGTTGTTGAGCTGCTGTTTGTATTTGTGTGAAAACTGGAACCATCTACGGTAAACTGGCATTTGGGTCCGGCAGCAGGCTAATGGTTCTGACCCGTAAGTCCACTTCTAAAGCGGTTTTGTAAAAGACTCAGGCTCAAGTGTAAAAACTGTTTGAAGAAGTCAAACTAGAATTTAAACTTGGATTAAATATTTAACCTGCAACATTTTTAAACATCTGAATCTGAATTAAAGAGAAGATCCAGAAGGTTTTTGTAGGATTTAGTGTTTCAGGTAATTTACACTTAAGAAAGTTTTAGATGAAAAAGGTTCCAGCATAAACGGCTGATTCTGTTTAAATTCTGGATTAGAGCTCAATCCGGGAGCTTCTGACTCATCACCGAAACACTAAACTAAACTAAACTAAACTAAACTAAACTACTGGAGTCAATTTGAAGTGTTTAGTTAAACTGGGTTAGAACCAGTCTGGGTCAGATTCAACCAGGTTAGATTTGACCAAATGAAACCAGTTTTAGATAGATTAGATTAAACCAGTTTAAATGTGAGTCTGATTTGTTAGCTGTGGGTTTTTGTTGTGTGTTGTGTTGCTGTGTGAAGGGTTCTGGTCTCGACACGATTCTGTTTGGACCTGGTACCAAAGTCTGTGTGAACCCCAGTAAGTCTGCTGGTTTCTGACTTTTCTTTCCCAGAAATTATGAATGTTTAAGACCTGTCGTTCATGATTTAACTCGTTTAAATCGAGTTACTCTGATCTCAGGTCAGACTCGAACCCAAAGATTTATGATTTAATGTCACATGAATCTAGTCAATTCCTTAATCAGAATCAGATAAAATGATTGGTTTCTGTTCAGGACCTCAGACCCGGTTCTGGTTCTGAGGTCTGTGCTGTGTGTCTGGTAGCGCTCAGAAAGTCCTTTTTGGGTCTGCAACCAAACTGAGTGGAATCCAGTAAGTTGTTGTTTCTAATCCTTTATCATGTCAAATATGAAAATCTAACAACTTAAATGAACTGGAGTGGTTCTGACCCATTTGGTGGTGCTGCTGAGAAGGGGCTGACCTGGGTTCAGATTTAGGGTCAGACCAGAACCATTGTGTGACTTCTTCTGCTGCTGGATGGAAGGTTCACTTTGGAAAGGGAACCAGACTGACTGTTAGCCTCCGTGAGTAGAACACCGGTGCAGTACATTTGGGTTTGGGTCCAGTTTCTGGTCCAGAACCATTAGGGTCCGGCCCGTTTGAGCCCAGGCAGCAGCTTTTATATTTATGATTAAATCCTAATGAGACGAACGTGAAGCAGTTTGGGTTCTGGTTCTGGTTCTGAAGAGTTTTTGTTCTGGAGCTTCACGTTGTGTAAATACTGGGCAGAAGATGTTCTTTGGTACCGGAACCCGGTTAACTGTAGAACCCAGTAAGTTCTGATATGTTTTTTTGATTCTGATTGAAATTAAACTAAAGTTGAATAAAAACTAAAACTCGGTTTTATCTCCACCTGAAAACGGAGACAAACGTTTACGTGATTTTACATAAATGTAAACAAACACAACAGAGTAAATGAAGTCAGCTGGTTCTGGAGCCTAGAACAGGGCCAGTTCTGGTTCTGGAGCTTCTTAATGTGTGAATGTCGGACAGAAGATCTTCTTTGGTTCTGGAACCAGATTAACGGTAAAACCCAGTAAGTTCAGATGTTTTTATTGTGAATAACCAGATATATTTATTAAAGTTCTTTAATGAGAGGCAGCAAATATAAATGTAAACAATAAATAACTACAAATAAAGATACAACATAGTATTTAGTGAAGTGTATATTATTTAAACTTCTAAAGTTTTTAACCCATGATTTAAATGTGATCAAATGTGACGTGTAAACAAACTAAATACAGATTATGAATTTTTTATTAAATCTTCATAAAACTATTTTTATTAACATGATTAACTCAAACCAGATGTAGAAAAATGAAAATAAAGCCTTTATTTTTAGTTGATTTCACAACAACAGCAACTAAACCTGATGATGGAACAGGAACCTGAAGTTCTGCTGCTGGGTTTGTGAAGACCGGATCACAGAAGATCCTCTTCAGAACCGGAACCAGACTCACGGTAGAACCCAGCGAGTTCCCACAGAAACCAGAGATTTTTTATGGTTTTAAAAGTAAAAATGTGGAACTTTAGAAAGTCAAAAATAAAACCTTTAGCTGTTTGTTCAAATTTACCTTCAGTCAGTTTGTCACATTCATTCTGATCAAAAATCACTAAAAGTTTTACCTCCATTAAACAGACGATCAGCAGGAAATCATTAACTGTAAAATCATGTTAACCATAATAATCCATAACCAGGCTGGCTCAGTAAAGCTGAGACAGAACCAGAACCACTAGAACCCAGTAGGTTCTGATTAATTCATTACAGTCAACAGAACAAACAAACAAAATCATTAATAATCTTCTTTATTTTCAGTTAATAACGTTTGTTTGTTTGTTTGTTTGGAGCAGAGCTCACCGCGGGCCGTCGCTCCACAAATGCTCTCGTTTACGTGTGAAATCACCTTTTTCTGTGGAAACATTAAATACGTGGATTTGACATGAAGCTGAGTTTGACTCTGATCTAGTGAAGGTCAGAGGTCCTCAGCCCGGCAGAACCTGCTTTAGACGTTTGTGTGATGGAGCTTCCTGGTGTGTGAATACCGGAGGGTACAGTAAGGTTCTGTTTGGAGACGGAACCAGAATCACCATAGAACCCAGTAAGTTCCAATCCATCACATTTGACATAATAATAATAATAATAATAATAATAATAATAAAAATAATAATAATAATAATAATAATAATAATAATAATAATAACATCCACAACGTTTGTCCCTCATGACCAAAACAAACAAACAAGCTGCTGATATAAATAATCCACAATTATTAAAATATTATTTTGTTTGGTTGAAGCTAAATGAACCCAAAACCAGTAAAACCAGTAAGATTCAGGTTTTATTTCAGCAAAGCATTTCAGACAGACAACCTGAGATGTTACTAAAGTCATAAATATCTGGAGTTTCTGTTCTGGAGCCTCTGGATCGGGTCAGAACCGGATCTCCTTCGGGAGTGGAACCAGATTAGCGGTAGAACCCAGTAAGTTGTCTTGTTTTCCGTTGAACCAGCAGGAGATAAAAGCTCAAAGTTAAGCTTTTAGAAACATTTTTTATAAAACTAAATAAAGTCGAGTTGGTGAAGCTTTAGGATCCATTACGCTCAGGTCAGATCAGAACCAGAACCATGTTTTTATGGGTTAGTTTAGATTAACTAAACTAACGCCAAAAGTTTATGATTTTAATAAGGAACAGACGTTCTTCTGAAATCATAAAGATGTGAAACCAGAACCAAGTGACTGAGGTTCTTGTGTGACTGGATCGGGCCAGAACCAGATCTCCTTTGGGAGTGGAACCAGATTAGCAGTAGAACCCATTTAGTTCTGATCCGGTTAGTTTCTGTTGTTAGTTTTAGAAAGGTAAGCGTTTCAGTCGGAACCAGCTGGTTGTGGTTCTGATCGGGTTCCTCCTGAACTGTAATTGGGTCTGACTGTTGGTGGTTCAGTCCAGAAGGTCGGGTTGAACAGAACCTTTAAAAGAACAAACAGGACCAAGTTCTCCACCAGGGGGTATGCCCACACCGGGACCTGGTCTGGTTCTGGTTCTGGTTTTTGTGCTCTGGCTGCAGACTGTGTGACTTACAGCTCTGGAGGAAACAAGCTGCTCTTTGGAGACGGAACCAAACTGTTCATCAGCAGCAGTGAGTTGGTTTAAATGTGAGAACTGGACCTAAACTGGTTTAGCTTTGATCTAGTTGAACCTAAACTGGTTTCACTGGTTTGAATGCTGTTCCAATTAATGGGAATGTAGAACAGTGGCACAGGAGTTAAGCCAGGAGTTAACCAGACTAACCAGTGGGACCAGTAAGTGATGAATCAGTTCAAAAGCTTCCAGCTTCTGTTTTCATTTAAACATCAATGAATTTGTTTGTTCTTTAACTGACGGTTTGAGTCCGACTGGTCATGGTTCTGAACCGTTTAGCAGCCCGGTTTATGTTCTGGAGCTTCACTTTGTGTGACTGATGGGTACAAGATAATGTTTGGAGGTGGAACCAGATTAACCGGTGAAACCAGTAAGTTTGCTCCATTCCAGATAATACTGTACACTAGACCATAAACTTATTCTTTCTATTGCTTTTCAATAACATCAAATGTAAAAAAAAAATCAGTCTCAACTTTAACAAAAATAAAGAAAAAAAAAATTAAAAAGGTTTGTATTGATAATTGGTGTTTGAGTAAATCTGAAAAATTTATCTGTGAGTTTTAATTTGATTATTGGAACAATTCAGCATTAAACTAAACCAGGAAAACATTAAATTGATCAAAAACCACGAGTCGGGGAGGACCCATTCATCAGAGTTCAAATGAAATCAATTCTATTTATTTAAATAAAATCGAAACAGTACTAATAAATTATAAAGATCCAAACATCTGACATGTTTGGTTTTTATCATAAATGATGAATTCAATCTATCATCTATATAACCCATATAATCTATAATCTATATAACCCATATAATATATAATTTATATAAACAATTTAATCTATAATCTATAATCTATATTACTCATATAATCTATAATTTATAAAACAATATAATATATAATCTATACAACTCATATAATCTATAATTTATAAAACAATATAATCTATAATCTATACAACCCGTATAATCTATAATCTATATAACCCATATAATCTTTAATTGATATAACTAATATAATCTATATGATGTATGATTGATATAATCTACACGATCTATAATTTATAAAATCTTTCATTTTACCTAAAAAAAAATCTGAATTTTATTAATGCACTGAAACCAAATCAGAAGGGACCCGGTTTGTATTCTGCTGGTGATGATAGAACCAGAACCAGTGAAACCAGTCCAGGCTCTGGTTCTGGTTTTGGTTCTAGTCCTGACTCTAGTCTTGGTCCAGGTTCTGGTTCTGAGTATTTGTTCTTGAGCTTCATGTTGTGTGACTGATTCTGGTGGACGTAAGATGATCTTTGGTTCTGGAACCAGATTAACCATCCAAACCAGTAAGTTATTCATTCTGGTTACATATGCAGATCAGAGGGGTAGAAAGTAGAAAAAAGATGATCCAGGTTCTGGTTCTGGTTCTGGTTCTGGAGCTTCATGGTGTGTGACTACTGCAGCAGTTGGTTCAATCTTCAATCCTCCAATCCTGTGAGTTTTAATTGATTCATGTGTTCATCAGGAGCTTTGAACTGGTTTAAACGGGAAAAAAAGATTTTTCATTAGAGAAACACAAAGAGTCATTAAAGTAAACAGGTACCAAACGGGTCCATCAGAACCAGAATCACACTTTTTCTATTTGACTCATTTTACATGAAATTTTTCATTTATCACAAAACAACAGAAACTATCAACCAGATGGCTCTGGTTCTGGTCCCGGATGGTTCTGGTTCTGGTCCCGGATGGTTCTGGTTCTGGTCCCGGATGGTTCCACGTTTAGATCCTGGTCCTGGTTCTAGTCCCGGATGGTTCTGTTCCTGGTTCTGGTTCTGGTCCTGACATAGTGTTCAGGAGCTTCATGTTGTGTGAATGCTGCAGGAAACCAGTTTAAGATCTTCTTTGGTACCGGAACCAGTCTGACCGTAGAACCCAGTAAGTATTAATAATTTATTATGTTTCAGCTAGAAAATTTAAACAAGAAAAACAAGAAACTTCACTTATTTTAAACCTCTGGAAAAAAAAAAACCTTTGACTAAAGAAAAACTGAATTTCAGATTTTAATCTCTAAAGAGTCCAAAACTAAAAGGTTCTGAACGTGTTTGTAGAAATAAAGTTACACCTTTTTATTCGAGGTCCTGGTCCAGATCCAGGGTCCGTTTCTGGTTTCTGTTATGGTCCTGGATCCACTTCTGGTTATGGTCCTGGTCCAGGTCCTGGTCCAGGTACTGGTCCAGGTCCAAGTCCAGGATCCGTTTCTGGTTCCAGTTATGGTCCTGGTCCAGATCATGGTCCAGGTCCTGTTCCAGGTCATGGTCTAGGTCCAGGATCTGTTTCTGGTCCTGGTCCAGGTCCAGGTCATGGTCCAGGTCCAGGATCCGTTTCTGGTTCCGGTTATGGTCCTGGTCATGGTCCAGGTCCTGGTCCAGGTCCAGGTCCAGGTCCAGGTCCAGGTCCAGGATCCGTTTCTTGTTCTGGTTCTGACTTTGTGTTCTGGAGCTTCATGTTGTGTGAATGCTGGGTACAGGCTACTGTTTGGAGATGGGACCAGACTAACCTCTGAAACCAGTGAGTGATGAAAAGATTCTGTGATCATTTTCAGGAGGACCGGGTTCACCAGGAGGTTCTGGTTCTACAAGTTCTGTGTTCTGGGTCCAGGCTAATGTTTGGACCTGTAACTGGACTAATTACTGAAACCATTCAAATCATTGTTGATTTAAGCGTCGTTTTGATGAAGCATAAAAGGGTTTTTAGGATGAATCCGTTGATCGGTTAGTCGTTTTCATTTAGAATAAATTATCATTAAAACTTTAATTATTACAGATGAAAATAATATTTGAGACTTTTTCAGAACATCTGAAAAATAAAAACAACAATTTCTGACTGTACTTTAGTTCTGATCCGTTTGAGTTCTGAAGCATCTTTGTGTGTGTTAATCAGTTCAAGATGATCTTTGGTTCTGGAACCAGATTAACCGTCCAACCAGCAAGTTGTTAAATGTAGATCAGAGGAGTTTGTGAAGGGATTCAGAGTCACTGAATCATCAGAACAACGAAGGAAAACTGCACAAAAGGATTTGATTCAATCGACTAAATGAAAACAAATCAGTGAAAAATAGAAAACGTAGATGAATGATTCATCTATAAATGTTTATAACATAATCATGTTTATTAGATCAGAATACAAGTAAAAGTTTGAGTTTAACCATCCAGTTTACCCGGGTTCTGGTTCTGGAGCTTCATGGTGTGTGAATGCTAATAGGATCTTCTTTGGTACCGGAACCAGTCTGACCGTAGAACCCAGTAAGTGTTTAATCGTGTTTTTGTAAAACGTTTTACTGGTTAAGCACAAAAACAAGAATGAATTTAAACATTTTTATCTAAATAAAATATTTTACAAAGTTAACCCGTAAAACCCTAAATCATCAGATTTGACTCTTTTTATTTATTTACTTTGTTTTTAGGAAACTTTCATTTGAACAGTGAGAAAACCCTAATCCTAATCCTAATCCTTTTAATCAGAAATCCTCTTCAGAACTGACTCAATGAACGAGAACTGGATCAGAACTCAGTTTTGGTTCTGGACTTTAGGGTTGTGTGAATGCTGGAGCCAAACTGGTTTTTGGTACCAGAACCAGTCTGACCATAGAACCCAGTAAGTATTTAATCATGCATAAATGTGTCAGTTTAAAATCATAAACATTAAAAACAAAAAAACTTGAAATAATTTAAACTTCTGGGTGAAAACTTTGAAAGAAAAAACAGAAATTCAGATTTTAAGCTCGAAGAATCCAAAACTCAAAGGTTCTGAACGTGTTTGTAGAAGTTAAGTTAAACACTTTAAAAGTCTCTAGATAGAGGGAGGTTCTGGTTCTGGTTGTGGAGCTTCATGTTGTGTGAATGCTGGTGCTGGAACCAAACTGGTTTTTGGTACTGGAACCAGTCTGACCATAGAACCCAGTAAGTATTTAATCATTTATTGATGTTTCAGTTTAAAAATGTAAACATTAAAAGTATAAAACTTGAAATATTTTAACTTCTGGATAAAAACTTTGACTAAAATAAAAAAACTGTAACATAGATTTTAATCTCTAAATGTTGCAGAAATAAAAGTTCCAAAAACAACCAAAAGTTTTTATTCTAAACAAAAGTTTTTTCTTTCATAAGATTAGAAAATATGTTTTTAACGAGAGTTTGGTTCTAGTCCTGGTCCTGGTCCTGGTTCTGGTTCTGGTCCAGGTTCTAGTCCTGGTCCAGGTTCTGATTGCAGATGCAGATCAGAGGAGTAGAAAGTAGAAAAAAATAGAAAACATAGATAAATGATTCAACTGTAAATGTTTATTTTATAGTCATGTTTATTAGATCAGAATACAACAAAAAGTTTGAGTTTAATGATCAAGTTTACCTGGGTTCTGGTTCTGGTTCTGGAGCTTCATGGTGTGTGACTACTGCAGCAGCTGGTAAAATCTTCTTTGGTACTGGAACCAGATTAAGCGTCCAACCCAGTGAGTGTTAATCTACAACATGAATGTAATCATGTGTTCATCAGAAGGTTTTTATTTATTTCTCTTCATGATGAAGCTGAACTTCAATAATTATTTATATCATAAAGAACAACAAAAGCAGAGATTAAACCAGATTAAACCAGATTAACTTCATCTCTGGGGCTGAGTTGACTTCTTATTAAACATTAAAGAGTTAAAGATGGAATATTATGTTTTTCTCCTTAAACATAAACAAGAACTTTCAGATTATTCTTACTGAATTAATGTGAATTAAAATGAACGTTCGATGAATAATTCAGGATTATTTAGTTTGGGTTCTGGTCCTGGAGCTTCATCGTGTGCGACTGATGGACTGAGCCAGTATAAGATGTTCTTTGGTACCAGAGTTCACCCACTTATAACTAGTTCCAGGTTCCATTTAACTAACTAGCTGTAAATGTTTGTTTTTCATGTGTAGTATCCAGCAGCTGATTCACTAAATCACAAACAAACAAACAAACATAAATAAACAAATGTAAACAGCATTTGTGTGGGTGTAACCTATTCTCGTTTTCAATCCAACTTTATTTATAAAACCGTTTAAACATCTTGCCTATAAGAAAACAAACAAATAGTTAAATAATAACATGAACACATTAGGAATGATTCATCTTTAGTCATCAGTGATCAGGAGATGAATGGTTTTAGAGTTCTGGTTCTGGTCCGTTGGGCTGTGTGAATGCTGCTGCTGGATATCAGGTCTACTTTGGTACCGGAACCAGACTAACCGTCCAAACCCGTGAGTTTTGACTGATTCATGGGTAACACTTTACAACAAGGTATGCTTCGTTACTAGGGAATGGCCTAGGGGGTGATGAGTAATGAAGCAGGAAAGAATAGGTAGTTAACCAGTAGTTACTATGTTACCGATTCATGTGTTCATCAGGAGGTTTTTAATGACGCCATAGAAATAAAGTTATTATTATTAGTTTTTCTGATCTTAATAATCAGGAACGTTTATACTGAACTCGTTTATTTTAGTTTTGTTATTAATATTAATATGATTTTAGCTTAATGAGCTTTCCGTAGTTGCGGGATTTTGTTCTGACGCGGCTCAGAGTGAACGTCAACGCGGTTCTGTTTGGACCTGCCACAGAAATACGAGTTGTTCTGAGTGAGTCTGACTCTTGGGTTTGGTTCTGCTGAGAGTCCAGAGAGCAGAACCAGGCTTTATGGGTTAAAGCGTCTGTTTCTGTGGAACAACATTAAACTCTGATGTTTATTAGTTATGATGCTTTTCCTTAAACTTCCTGCTTCTTTTGTCTTTGATCAGAAAGTTTTCCAGAAAAATACGTTTCCAGAAGTGTTCAGAACAACCTACAAATATCATTTTTACAATTAATATTATTATTAATCATCTCACTCACACAGAATATTTAAGGTGGAACCGGTTTTAGTTGAGACTCGTTTACCAGAACCAAGAATCAGAACCAGATTAACTGTCCACCTGACTTGATCTGATTCTGGTTCTGATGGACTTTCGTCCAATGAACCATCAAGAGTCGGTTCTTGTAGAGGAGTGGGATTATGTGTGACTGGAACTGGAACCCTGAGATTATATTTTGGTGTTGGAGTGAAGCTGAAGGTTCAGTCCAGTAAGTTTCATGTCACAATAAAACTTGTAGAAGTTAATAGTTGGTAGAAACACATGATTAATAACCAATAATATTATACAGCTTAGTTAGTAACATTACTTATGAATCTTGTGTGTTTCCCTTCTCCACTTGGCGTTGTCTGTGTTGTTGTGCGTCTCTTTCTACAAACATCTGGAACTAAAATGACTCATGTTCCACGTGAGGTCAG